AAAATATCGGATTCTGGATATTCTTAGAGCAAATAATTCTAGAAACATTTTGAGACCAAATTGGTCCCGGCAATTGATTGCTTTAATGTACTTTACTCTTGTACGCGAACCATCACAACTACACTGTGGGTCGAATTTTTCGATATAAACGTTGAATAAAAAAAAAAGCTAAATATTGTTTATCAAAATGGTAGAATTAATGTGGCGATCGAAAACAATAATGAAATTCTAAGGGTTTTCAAATTTCAGGGAAATTTTGTATTAGTAGGAATTAGAGGAGTTGTTGATTTCAAAACAAGTTTCAAAGAAACATAATTCATAATATTTAAAACGCATTTAAGTTGAGAACTTCGCAAAGCAGCTCTCTGAAGCTGAAATCTGTAAACACGAATATTGGTAAAAGCATTATTGCATTCGTTTGTCCACTGTTTGTCCACGTTTGTCCGCCCTATGTTTATTACATTTTTCGTAATAGTGTAAAATAATCACTTGGGGGTTTTACTATTTTATTTGTGCATAACTTTTTTTTGGAGAGTGGACAAACGAAAATAATGGTTGGACAAACGTGGACAAACGGTGGACAAACGAATGCAATAATGCTTTTACCAATATTCACATTTAAGGTGCCAACTTCACAAAGCAGCTCTGTAATGTTGAAATCTCTAAATGCGAATTAATTGCCGGGATCATATATATGTATATATAACTTATTTAAAATATAAACACGCGCGATATATTTTAACATATTTGTAAAAAAAATGGGTGTAATATACATCTTTAATGTTAATACTTTTAAGCTTAATAATAAACATCACGCGCATGGAAGTAAGCATACATATATGTAGTTGCAGGGAGGAATATTTATTCTGATCCACATTTTATGTAGCGCGATTACGATTATACGAACCGCGAATATCTACTTACCATCAGTCTTGAAAAGTATATGCGTTATCCTCAGAATAGTGGATCTGGCATGTAGCTCACATCCACTTTTGCAGTGGGCAGTAGTGCGCGGCAGTATTTTGTGGTTACAGGTTTTAGGTCGTTATGTCCTCTCTCAGGTTTCTCTCTGGTCTCTACATTCTAATTCTTGAAGTGAGTGGCCTCGAACACGTATAAAGCGTCAATACGGCCAGAATGTCTCTACATTGTGGCTGTTCATAAGATGTCAGAAGTAAACATAACCTGACCAAATTTAACCTAGCCTTGCTTTTTAACTCATACATATATATGTTACGCGATATTTTCTGTTTATTTGATTGTACCTAAAGACAATTGTAAGTTAAATGATGATAATAAATGTACTATGCGTAATTTGCATAAAGTAAATAAATAAGCTATAAATTAAAAGCAATACTTACATATTATATTTTTTACATATTTGTTCCATAATTATATATATCTACATATATATATATTTTCATAATATTTATCTTGGTTATATATTCTATTTCTAAATAAAATAATGTTCTAATTTAGAATTTATGACATTTATTTATATAATTATAATTATTACATGAATTTATATAGACAAAGTATATGAAAGCTATAAATTTAAAATGTTCTATTTTGTTACATCAGATTATTAAGTTATTGCAAAAATGATACGTTGGCTTTATACTTTTCTAATACAATTCAAATGATAAACAACTATTGATTAATCAATAACTGTTAATTGATTAGTTCCTGCGTACAGTTCCTGTACAATCTTTTGAGTGCTTTTTAATAGATCTGCTTCAAGAATTACCTTCAAGGTCATTGTCAATGACTGCGGTCCCTAACCCTTTTCATTTGCAAGACTGTCACCTCCATTATGAAATTTTTGAAACTACCATTGTACTGTCTTTGTAGTTTTCTAATCGATTATATACTTCGTTAATTTTTCGACTCGTTTTTTTAAAACTAGTTTAAATTTGTATTTAAAAAATTCGGGATTGTTTCTTTTCCATATTCAGTAATAATGATAATAATTGGTCACAGTCAACAAAGTTTAAAAACCGACAGTATTTTTGCATTAACCTAGTATTATTAACAAAGTCACATTATTTTATAATTACAGCTTTTATAGATATGAAAGGCATACATATTTTTTTTATTGACAACATAAAAAAGGAGGCATATATCTTACATATTATTCTTGGATTTCTCAGGAACAAAGATACAACTTATCGGTGATATTATATCATTGCCATTGTCACCTTTACAAGGATTCTAAAAATGGCTCAAAGTGCTGCTTTGCTGACACGCATAGTGGCATCGTCTGTATCAGCCACTATACAAGCTGGTAAAATAATCAGAGATGTTTTGAGCACAGGTGGATTAAATATTGTGGAAAAAGGCAAGAATGATCTACAAACGGAAGCAGATCGTTGCGCCCAACGATGTATTATAACTTCGCTCAGTCGTCAATTCCCAAATATTACTATCATTGGTGAAGAAGAACCATCTAACTGCGAGGTACCATCAGAATGGATCATCACAGAAGCAGATCAAGAAGTATTGCAATTAAAATTACCAGCTCATCTAGAGGATATTAATCCTAAGGATGTGTGCATCTGGGTAGATCCTCTGGATGGTATTGATACCTACTTAATTTAAAGAAAACTCCTTCATGATAAACATGCTCTTGTACTTTTGGTTTATTTTAAATGTGCATTATTGTATACCATGAATGTTTCTAAGTACCAGTCAATAATTGTTATAAAAGAATTTGCATTGTAGGTACAGCAGAGTACACGCAAGGATTAGTGGAACATGTTACAGTATTAGTTGGTGTGGCAATTGGCAAAACAGCAATTGGAGGCGTCATACATCAACCCTATTATAAGAATGAAGAAAATGGCACGTACATTGAAAACGGTCGTACATTATGGGGTATTAATGGCGCAGGATTCGGAGGATTTACACCGAATTCGCCTCCAGAGGGGAAGAGAATAATCACAACCACTCGGTACTTAGCGAATGATTTTAATACTTATATTTTGATATTGTATTATATTGAATATATATATATCATATTGTCCGTTTTTAGTTCGCATTCTGATAGCATTGTTCAAAGCGCCATAAAATCGTTGGATCCTGACGAAGTGACACGCGTCGGCGGTGCTGGACATAAGGTAATAGCAAGAACGATTATTCATGGATCCTTCTGATTGTATATGCTCTCCGAATTATTCAAGAATATATTCTTAATCTTCAAATCGAGATATTGTGTGTGTCTATTCGCAGGTAATTCTTCTGTTGGAAGGAAAAGCTCACGCGTACGTGTTTGCCAGTCGCGGGTGCAAAAGATGGGACACTTGTGCGCCCGAAGCTGTACTTCATGCAATCGGTGGTATTTTAACCGATCTTCATGGTGATCGTTACTCATATAATCAAGAAACGTCACATCTAAATATGAGAGGCATACTGGCCACTGCTCCTGGCCAGCCACATCAGTGGTATTTAAGTCGAATACCTGATGAAGTAAAACAAAAGTTACAATAGATCATCAATACAAATGATCTTTACATATTTATTTTTCAACTAATGTCCTCCATAATAACGTATTTAAACAAAAAATTTGGATATCCTAGCATTATCATAATAGTCATGCATCTGTGCACGTATCTTCTAAAAATTTTAATAATTAATTATCTTACGAGTGCAATATAAACATTCCGCAAAAATGTTTCTAATTTTATATATATTTTTTACACTTTGTCTTATGATTCTGATTTGTAAATAAAGATGTAAAGACAATCGTTGGTTTATTTAGAAACAATCATGAAATAATAAAAAGAAATTTTTTAGATAGAAGGAATTGATTATTTTAATCTTACTCTTTGTTTAATCTTTTCTTACAATAACAAAAAAATTAATTTAATTACGAAATTAATGTTGTTAAACTGGATTAATTAAGAATATGTGTGTGTGCATAATTCTTACATAATAAAAGAAAATCTAGAAATATTATCAATAGATTCTGTAGCGCAAGAACGCACGATAAACAAAATATCGGCCAACTTTTTAGTATTTGATTGTTAAACTGTTCAACGATACAACAATTTTATCCTGAAATAATCACACACGTGTAACCAAAACGTATGACGCTCATGATGAAAGCTAGAGAACGTAACAAAAATACATTGTGATAATGATGGACGAAAATATTCAGATTTGGATTGAGAAGATAGAAAAACGTCCTATTATCTATGTCAGAATTAATATAATATACAGGATATTTACTATTTAGAAAAAACCTGAAAAATTTTCGAAGGATATTTTTCACTTTTAAAAATCAAAAAAGTTTTTAAATTTTTATGTTTAAATTTAAATTCTATTTCTAGAAACATTTCTTCGATCATTCTTTCTTGACAGTGCAAAGTATCTCAATAATCCATTGTATAATCTCTTGATTCCGTTGATATGCTTTACTAACTTTACATATATATACATCCTTCTGGAGCGACAAAATTATTTTTGCACATGGGCATCCAATTCTATTTGCACGTCTCTGGATTAAACGGTATGCATATATAGCAAGGCAATAAATACATAAATGAGAAAACAAATATTCACGGTCAATATACTGACGCAGCAACCATTCCGGTTTTGCGTCAAGCTAATTATAAGTAGAAGGGAGAATAAAAGATTCTACAAGGAATCTCGGTAAGTCAGTATACGACTATACCGTGCATCCATCCAGTTTAACAAATCGGTATATTCCGACTAGATTTTGTCTTGTTGACTGAAATAGATTAATTGTTCTTTGGAAATTGTGTATATTAAAATAACAAAAAAATATAGGGACGAAAAAAGACAAGAGATCAAATTTGATGAATTCATGTAGACGGCAGAAATTTGGAGAAGATAAGGAGATCTATTGTACATTTATGTGTGTATGTTTGTATGTATGAGGAATTAATTAAAAATCAATTCAGGGAGGGCAATTTAATAAAAATGATAAAACATTTTCTATTTGCAAAATTGTTTCTTTTGACGGTGCTTCTCATAAATGTTCGTGAGAATTATGCCGCTTATAAACCTCCAACGGCTACGGTGCAGCCACTTTATCCGATGGGACTACGCATGTCCATTCCTGGTAAGATAATAAAACTTTAATTATTAAATAGTATGATCCATTTATGTAGGATATTTGATATTTAATACAATAATATACATATATATATCCCAGTATCCGAGAATGGATTGGATTTTGTCTACTCGAATTCGTATTTTAAATAGCGAATACTTTTTTGTGGATTCAATTGAATTCAATTGGATTCAATTAGATTCAATTGGATACAACTGGATTGAAAAACTGCGTTTCCTATTCAAAACTATGAATTGAACAGATATTCACTATGGTCACAAACGCACTGAAAAAGCTAATATTATTTTATGATTGAAAAGTATACAGATATGCTCCATGCAATTCCTATAAATGAATAAAAACGTATTCGGATCGAAAAGGATTCATTTTAACATTCACGAATCCGTATTTCTGAAAATTTGAATCCATTTTAATCCATTTCAATCCATTTCTCGGATACTGGATATATATATAAATAATTAAGCTCAAGTATTATATATAGATGCACGTATATGACGTATATGTGAGTATAATTTTGTAAATTGATTCGATATTATAACAGAATTTAATTGAGATTTGTAATTTAAATTACGACTGTTTTATGACACTGCATATTATCTGTTCAGCAAATAAATTATAATCAAAGTTGAAGGCTTGCATTTTTTAAATGAGAAAACATTTTTTTCTATAGATGAATACGGAATTACATTGGTAGCCTTCCATATAAAATTCAATGAGGATTTTGATGGTTTAGAAGCAGGACATATTGCAAAAGATATTCTCAAGGTTCGAAATGGCCGATGGACTTACCAAGACAAGCACACTCAATTAAAAAGAGACGATATTATCTATTATTGGATTCACGTTGTATATCAAGGCCTAGGGTATAATCTAATTGATCAATCATATCGAGTTGTCAGTAAGTTTTTTATAAATATATACAATACATTTTTTTATTCATATTCATTTACAAATACATATAATTTATTTTTTTTATTATGAACAAATAATTCAACGATAACGATGCAATCTTATTATCATTTATTTATAATTTATTTTATTTATTATGTTTTAATTTGATTTATTTGAAGAAACAATTATCTATTAGATATATGCAATTGTTCGCAATTTTTTAAATTGTTTAAAATTGTTTAAAACATCCTTTGTTTTATTTTAAGATTTGTACAACTCTGACGGCACTCAGTATATTGGCGACACGGCTCAAAGTCCACAGAACTGCACGATAACGTCGATCACATGGATCTCCGAGAAGGGCGAACAACGACAAGTCTGTCCAGGCCAACTCATCTTTGAAGATAACTTCGATAATCTCGATACCGCAAAATGGAATATATGGAAACGTTTTTCTGGTTCACCGGTATGTATCACCGACCGCGCGATAATAAATTTATTTAAAAAACCGTTGTTCGTTTAAAATTATTATCTTTGTTATACAGAATCATGAATTTGTCATCTATATGACCAATGAAGTAACGGATACGAACAATGGACGGCTACGCATTAAACCCATTCTACTTGATACTAAATATGGCAACAACTTTGTATCGACTGGAAGAATAATAATAGAAGAGTATGCAGATAATTAGAGATTTTGGAAGATAGGAGATTAAAATTAAATATTTAATTGTATTTTTTTTTAGTTGTACGGGAAAAATTGGTACGGATGACTGCCAACGTCAAGCTGCTGGTTCATACATATTGCCTCCTCTAATCTCCGGAAGAATTAGTACAGAAGGAAAATTCGAATTTCTCTTTGGACGTGTCGAAATAAGAGCCAAATTGCCACGTGGCGATTGGGTATTTCCCGGTAGGTCTATAACTTTTTTACCATTAATTTTGTTTACTTAACTATTTTAAATATGTATTTTGTAGTAATAACATTGCATAACGCTGAAAATACATTGGACAATACATTGGGATCCAGATTGCATCGCGAGATTAGGATTGCATCCTCGATGGGCAACGAAGAATTAAGGACTCCCAATGGTGAGATCATCAATAACCGCATACTGGGAGCAGGTGGATTGACTGCGTCTTGGAACGAAAGTAATGTGCAAGATTTGCCCAAAAGGCGATCGAGCAGACCCTGGTCCGACGATTTCCATATCTTCGAAATTGAATGGAATAGTGGCCTTATTGTAACGAAAGTCGATGGAGTACAGTACGGAGAGCAAACCGTAGACGTATCATTTGGCAAACCGGTATCGAAATTGTATTATAATTGTTTTTTTTTTTTTGTTAATAGAGACTTGTATCATTTGTATTATTTATTTTACTAAATTTCGTAACGATATTGAAAATTTGATGTCATTTATTGCAGTCATATCTAACTTTGGGTGTAGCTGTTGGAGGTCTTCACGAATTTGAGGATCACGTCGTGAGTAGCGGATATACCAAACCTTGGCGAAATGTTGAAGCAAAGGTATGTTAACACTATAAAGAGTTAAAACACTTTTTAGGATGTAAAGACCGTTTAAGAGAGTTCTGTAAAATAAGTTAAAGATTTTAACAAATAAATGCAATCAGTATATTATTCTTTACAGGCATTGCATAATTTCTATCGCGCGAAAGAAAAGTGGTATCGTACATGGGATACAAGAACAGCACTTGAAGTGGATTATGTGAAAGTGTGGGCATTGTAAATACTTTCGTTTATACGAAAACCCGCATAACACATATTTTTATAATCTTAGATACATTCTATATGCGTATGTTTTTCTTACAAAATAACACATTTATAAGTTGATCAATGACAACATTATTTGTAACTATACATTATATACAAAATAAATAATAACGCGCAGACTGATTTGTACTTGATGATTATTTTGTATTCTAGAGTTCTGGCTATCCTACTAGTAACTCTACCGATTGTATTCAAATGCACTTGCGCTACGAATCAAATTACTACTTCTAAAGGAAGTTAGAGGAGGCACTAAGAATGTATTAGGTACTTGTTGTCTATTTAGTAGAACATGGGAATTAAAACCGTTCCCCAACTGTTTAATGAGCCACTCTCCGCGATATCCAAAACGCCGTTGATATGTTTTTGCAGCGCGTGGTCCATCTTCGGGTCTGAACTCTATGTGTATGGGTTCCTCTGTATTAAAAAACACGAGACGTAACAGACTCGTGATACCGTTTCTGGTCCATTCCTGGAACTGCAGTTGACTGGGCCAGAATTTTGGGAAAATTGAAACGTCGTTTCTATTGTTGAACAATGCTTGCAGCCATGCGAAAAATGATGAATCAAATGTCCTGGCATTTCGTGTCAACATTCGGTCACTGCACCATGTATTTGTCTACTCAATATAACAATTACATTTTTGTTTTTATCAACAGAAAATTTAATTACTTAAATGAATTCTTATTCTATACACATTATACATAATTAAACTAACATTTTAAGTGCAAGATCATTTAATAAAAATAAATAAAAAAACAATTACAAGATAAAATTAAAATTTATTTCAATTGAATTAGAGAAGCAAATATATGTGCCTTTTTCTATATATTTAATATAGATCACTTACCGCGCAAAGGATGAGTATTAAAAATACTTTATCAATGTACATGACTTGTCGAAATTGCGCTCATTACAGAAGTAACCGTTGAAAAGTAACGAACGACTGGAACTCTCCATTCGGATTCCGTCTGGCTTTTATGTCCTCTCGTCCCATATTCCATAGGAAATTCGTGATTCGCATCAAATATCGGTTCATGAATAATCAATTGTCATTCACAAGAGGATCTAATGTGACTTTTTAAATTCTCGCGCGTTGTTAAAAGCGCGCGATCGAGTTTTTCCTTTCACTGCTGATATTACGATACTGCGAATATTTTCAACATGTATAAGACGGATTACTGAATAAATTTCGTAGAGTAGAGTCATTCCGCGTCGATAGCAATACCATTCCTGGAGTGAACTGTGTGAGCCATGTGTAAATTGAATCAGAACCGAATAGGGGTTGGTTTAAAAAATTACAAGGAATCTAGTGTAATCAAGTGATAAAAACTTTGAGTTCTTGTAAAAAAAATTTATCATAACATATCTAAAATAACTTAATTTAGTGTTATATATATTTCTAATACAAAAAGTGAACAATAATTAGGCAATAAAGAATCAACGCTGTAGTTGATGCGTTTTACAAAATTATTAATAACTAACATTTATAAAATATGATGTAATAATCGTATATGTAAAATTCCGATTCATACGAAATTTTGTACCTACAATTATTACATCACATATTTTATAAATGTTAGTTATTAATAATTTTATGATACGCACCAACTACAGTATTATTGACTCTTTATTGCTCAATTATAATTACACTTATTTTTTATATTAGATTCTTATATAAATTAAAAAAGTCCTCAATTCATTTTAAACTTAGACTTATATAAATCAAAAGAGTCCTTAATTTATTAAAAAATTTTGATCTTATTTAGTGTTATATGTATTAATAAATTTGTATTAATAACAGTTAATGTAATAATTACAATATAATTAAATTCTTATACATATTTATGATAGCAGTAATTTCAATTACTTGTTCTTTTGTAATAATCTCTTTCCTTTCTTTGTGCATTCTATTATAGATCATTCTGTTGATGACATTATTACTTCATAGTGAAATTATTGTGTCAATCACAGACGCTACTGTCTACAGACTTCTGTATGATGTTATTCAATCTAACGTCGCAGGCATACCTCTTGTGCATGAGGTAAATATACGTATATAATATATATGACAGTTTTAATTCACTTATTTCTCTTGCTTTACTTTTACCTAGAAAACGGAATGGGACTTTGATCCAGAGGTTGGCAAGCAAAGAAGGATTCGATATGAACAAGAAAACGGACGTTTCGGAGAATATGCGATAGCAAAATTAGGGATGGGCATTGGATATAAAGGTCCTTGGGGAGAGCCAGTGAAAAGTTGAAACTAATAAGTAAATATATATTTTTTCCATTACATAGAAATTTTATTGACATGATTTATATTTAATCGAGTTCGACGTAAATAATTTATTAAACTAAAGAAAAATGAAACTTTTGCTTGATTATGATATTTATAATTACAAATACTCACGAGGCAATTTTTTAATAACGACAAATATTCATAAGATGATTAAACAAAGGTGACGTTTTTTTCTCTCATTTTTTAGCACAAATTTTAACATAATTCTCAAACCAAATCCATTTTGATTAAATATTTGCAATTAATTAAACTAAGTGTATATATAATATATATATATATATATATATATATATATAAATTAGTATTATATAAATATATATTAATAATACGTTTTAATTAATAGCATCGGTGCAATTAAAAATAATTAGAAGTTTAAAGAACGTGATTTCTTCTTAATGTTTTTTTATTTCTTATTAATTTTATTTTAGCAAATATATTTTGCAATGAAAAAAATGTCACTTTATCAATGCTTTTAAAACGCATTTTTAGGATGTTGCGAAATTTTCACGGCCGACATTTCAGATGTAGCAATCAATGTATGTAGCACAGCGTATCTCAGAACTTTCACTTTATATGGGGAAAGAACTGGAAGTAGTAGGAGAATTAAGAAATTTAGACAGTTCTGAATCCAGAACGTTAGAGATCAGTATTATTTTGTGATATCTGTTAAATTGATCAGTAATTGGTTAACGATTAATAATTGTTGTTATCAGAAGAAACTTTTATTTTATATATTTTTTTAAATTTCTTACTAGTATTCAAGAAAATAAATTTCACGTCTTCATCATGGCGAGTTTTACTTCTGTAAGTAAAAAATGATAAACAAAATGGTATAATATATAAACTACAAATATAATTTTTTTATAATCTAATAAGTTTACCATTGATTTTTCTAGAATATCAAAAATTTTTTGAAAATCTAATCAATAGCCGTCATTTAGGCAACTTTCTAATCGCTAAGTTTCAACGTATTGCGTCTCATATCAGCTGAATTTCTTTTAAAGCTCTATTCCTACTATAATATTAAGTATAACTATTTTTTTAAAAATATGCTTGAAAAATAAAGCAAACATTTTTTTGTTTCATTATTTTGCGAAATTTTGTTCTTTGTTTGCAGTGGCTGACTATGATCGCGTTAACAACAATCGGTATCTTATTTTTCACTCTAATTGATGAAAGTACAGCTGTACTCGCGGAACCTCAAGCTCCTAATTTCCAATATTTCGAACGGTAAGTGAAGCAAATATCTCAATAGAACTATAAGTTGACAAAAATTAATAAGTTACTTCAGTATTAAATATTCGTACGATTCCGATTATTTCCGTTATAATGCAGAAACCTCTAGGAAAATTTTTTCAGTGAAAAACGTCAAATAGTAATTTTCATTTTTACTTTTTTTAGACCAAAGTATCGCTATCCTTATTATGATGAAAACGGTAAAGGAAAGCTGCTCTATGGCTATGGTGGATCGGAATTATATCAATACAAAACTTATAGTGTTTTAGAAGGAATTCATTAAATCATTTTGTTTAAATTCTTAGAAAATTGAATATAAAATATCTGTATACATATAATGTAACATATATGGATATGATGTGATTAATTCATTAATATACTCATGAAACATCAATTCAAATATATCTATATAATGTAACACACGAGTATCTTTTCGATGGCACAATTGAATTATGTTACTCAAATATAAATTAGCTATTATGCTATTTAAGGAAATATTACATTCGTTGTTGGTGCAATTTGCATTATATTACCTTGCTATCGAAAGGATACATTCGCAATCGTAGAATTAAGGAACATTATAAGAGCATTTATTTTCGTCGATTACAACTGTATATTAAATGCAATTTGTGTATGGCTGATTTTAATTACAATGTGTTTGTCTTATTTTACTCGGTAAAATGCTGCATGATTCGCTTCTCCTTTAACATGAATTGACCGGCAATAAAGAAACAAATGGTAAAATTGATACTTGTTGCTGAGTGAGCTTTAAAAATTGTTACAATATTTAGAAAAAAGTGTAAGATAGAATGATTCAGTGCAAACATTGCTTTGGACTGCAGTCTCTAAGGCTATATTATAGACAGAATATATCATTAAAAGTCATTGATCTATCAAACGTGCATGGAATGTGCAGTAGCCACGCTACCATCTATGAAATAGTGACTTACAGTCTCTTTGTAGGGACAATCATCAAATATATAGTCTAATAGCTACAGTCTATGTAATCTACTACATTGGTATCGAAATGTTTCTTGCTGTCCTATTTCTTTTCTACGTGCACAATGTACTAGGAAAAATAGAATCGACAATTTGTAAATAGTAAAAAAACTGCAGTCACACTGCGAAATCGATACATTACAACTGTTATTGAAAGAATATTATTATTCTTCTATTTTCTAATAGAGGTGCACATGTGACGAAGTTACGAATGTGTGCAAGCACAGTCGAGTAGATGTGAATTAGCGAGACCTAATATGTCAATTATAAACAAACGCGATCGACTGCATATCAATGCCGAGCGATAATTGATGCGTTTATTCGTTATGATCTTTGTCCGCCTTGCTCTCGCCGGCAGACTGTAACTGTCATACAAAATCCATTTCAAACTTGTTATAATACTGGCCATTGACGCGACGTCTCTGCAGTTGTCTTTCAATAAACTTCTTTATCTCACTAATGACGAAGACGCTTGATGTCAACGCCGCCAAAAATAGAAGATCTGAAAATTAAAAATAAACATGTTATATACGAAATATATACTATCTTTAATGGTATCTCCTCTAGTATAATACCTTTTGCCGTAAGAGCTTCAGTTTGAAATATTCTCTGCAATGGAGGAAAGTAGATCACGAACATTTGTCCAATGACAGAGAGAGTTACGGCTACCAGGAACATCTTATTACTCCACAAACCGATTGTAAATATGGATTTTGTCTAAAACAAACGGATATTTTCAGATTGTAGAAAGATTTTTTTCTTAATATAATAAAATCTGAAATAAAAATATGAAATCTCACTTGTGATCTACAGCTAAGAGCATTGAACATGTCGAAGAATACGAAACAAGTGAATGTCATGGTAGTATCTCTCGCAGTATTCCCATTAACCATCTGGAAATTAAGCATATACATATATAACCTATGATTATATATACTATATATATATGTATATATATTGTAAGAAAATTATAGACTTATTTAAAGACAAATTTCAAATGTAAATTATAACAATAAGTGACAGTCTACTAATATGAGTCTACAGCTAGTTATTATTGGCGAAAATCAATTTAATTCTTCAAAAATACCTTAAATAATTTTTGAAGAATTAAATTGATTTTCGCCAATAATAACCAGCGGTAGACTCATATTACCTGTTATTGTTATAATTTACATTTGAAATTTGTTATAACTTATTGAGTCGATTTCCTAATGTTATAGTTTTGTTGATATAGTTTATATTTAAATTTAGTTATTTAAAGACATTTTACCTCTCTATTGTACACCCATAAAGTGCCAAGAATAATGATGCTAGCGGATAATAGAACATTAATTATGAGATGACGCGTGATCATTGGCTCCTTTGTATTTCGTGGTTTTTGTTTCAAAACATCCTTATCAACCGGTTCTACTCCAAGACTGTACAGAAGAAAATTAATGTATATATACTATGTGTAATAAATACTTAATGAAACGTTAAATCAAAAGATATTAAATCACCTTTGAGCAGGTGGACCATCCATAATAATATTGATCCATAATATTTGCATAGCATTCAAAGGATTCGGTATACTCATCAATGTTGCAAGAGCAATTAGAGAAAGCGCAGCTATGCTAGTACTCAATTGAAACCTGACAAAATTGCGAATGTTGTGAAAGATTCCCTTCCCCTCTTCGATCGCCGCGCTAAAACAAAAAATCATATAACCGATAAAGATTGCCATCACAGATTCATATACGTTAAAATTGCTAAGTAATACATTATTTACATAATAGTTCCAAAATCGTCATCGACTAAAATCATGTCGGCTGCTTCCTTGCATACATCAGTGCCATTTTTACCCATGGCGATGCCTATATCGGCCTTTTTCAATGCAACTCCATCATTTACACCATCACCGGTCATACCCACTATGTTACCATTCCTCTGTAAGGCTTTTACGATACAAAGCTTGTGTTTTGGTGTTACTCGGTAAAATACACTAACACTATTAATGCACTGTTCCAATTGATGTTCGGACATCATATCGATCTCATCTCCCGATAGCAATCGACTATGAAGTGTGTCCAAGCCAATCATGCTAGCTGAAAAATTATTAAAACTTCCATAACTTTATAATCGTAAAAATTTATGATGGATATAAATTTTTACGATTATATAAAAAGAGTGTAATAACTTTTTATATATAATATACTATTTATTTATATACCTATTGCAGCTGCAGTTTCTTTAGCATCACCAGTCACCATCTTCACTTTAACGCCACTGTTTATTAAAATGCTGATAGATTCGCGCACGTACGGTCTTGGTGGGTCACAAATACCAACCAGGCCAACATAAATTAAATCTTGTAACGAAGAACCACGTGCCAGACCAATCACTGCATATACATGTACGTGTATAAACAAATTGGTAATTACAGAAAAATATAATTCTTAAATTTATTATCCATTTATTATACTCTTATACTTTGTGAAAACAAAAATAGTACCTCTCAATCCTTGTTGACCAATATCATATGCTTCTGTCAAGAATTCTTGATCTTTCTTTTGACTAAGGGGATACACTTGACCGTTCTCGTAATATTTTGTACATTGTGGTAAAATTTTTTCCAAAGCACCTTTCACAAAGTATATTTCTTGCCTATTCTGAAATATAGAATTGTAGCACATATATTTAACATTCCAAAATAAAAATCTACAACTAAGGACAATGTAGCCATTTGTTTTATTTAAATTTACCTCACCAAACCTGGGTGTACATTTCACAGCCATCATCTTTTGCTCAGAAGAAAATGGATATTCTTGCAATCGCAAATATCGTTCAGCAACACCATACATTCCGAATTTCATTGCCACTGCTATCAACGCTCCTTCCGTTGGTTGTCCCAACAGAACGTCATTTTGTATGATAGCGTTGTTACAAACGCAACCTATTTCTAGCATGTTACTGATAGCAGCGTGTGCGAGATCAGGATTATCACACTTCCGTATGTGTACTTCTCCTACTCTGTTATATCCCGCTCCAGTAACATCCGCGACGTAACCCTCCGATGTAACGATAATCGTAGCGGTCATCTCGTTCTTTGTAATTGTGCCAGTTTTATCAGAACATATTACATTTACACAGCCTAAAAATAAAATAAACTCTATCCTTATGTTGAAGTTTTAGATAAGAGGTTGGAAAAAAAAATTTTGAAAGATAATTAAACTAATAAGAGAAACAACTTGAATAAAATAAATATTTCATATTTGCATTAACCTACCGAGAGTCTCAACAGTTGGTAATTTCTTTACAATAGCTTTTCTCTTAACCATTCTCATCACTCCCAATGCCAGTGTCACAGTCACAACGATAGGCAGGCCTTCCGGTATAGCTGCTACTGCCAAGCTTACACCAATGGTAAACATCTCAAGGATAGCCTTACCTTGGATCCAGCCCAGCAGCATGATAATACCGATAATGCAGAACGAATAGAAGGACAGCTGAGTACCTAAAATGTCCATGCTTCGCTGTAGTGGAGTCTTTGGTGCCTCCTCAGCCTGCATCATCGAGAAAACCTCCCCAAATTCACTCTTTTCTCCCGTATTCACTACAATTCCCTGTATCGCGCGATATTGTAACATAAGTTGATAGTAAAGCGCAACCATTCTCAAAGATTTTACATATAGCTTGAATAGAATCTACCTTGCCATTCCCACAGCGTACTAAAGTGCCCATAAAGGCGATATTTCTCTTTGACGTCAACCCATTAGTCTTAAACAAAGGGGCTGTCGACTTTTGCGCTGGTTCGGTCTCTCCAGTAAAGCTACTCTCGTCAATCGCCAGATCTATAGCTTCAAATATTCTGATATCAGCAGGTACTCTATCTCCAATATTTAAATATACTATATCACCAGGAACTAAATTACGTGCAAGAAATGTCTCTACACGGCTTTCTCTTAAGCTGAAAACAAAATACAGAATACAACAGTAATGTAAAAGTATCTTAACAATTAAGAATGTAAAAATAAAGAAAATTGAAAAAAATGTGAACAAAGTAAAAATTTAATAAAGAATGTTTTTGACAATTATTGTTAGTTGGGATTTCTTTAATTGTTAAATACAGGACTTTACGAAATTTCATAGCAGTAAGTTTCACCTTCTATAGAGTGCAACGACATATTATATCTTCTTCGCTAAGAAGGGAAAGGAATGCTGCACGTATAAAGGGTTAGTATATCCTCCAAGGACCATACTTCTAAAGAATTGTAAATTTAGATACATGCTGCCCCAAGATTGGACTAATATTCATCATTATTATATAGCGTGTGATTAACAAAGCATCTAATAAAAAGCATAAATCTATTTACCAGTGACATATTGGTGGCACCAATTTATTCAATTCTTCTAATGACTTCTCTGATCGGTATTCTTGTACAAATGCAACTGTCACCACTATTATGATAGCCTACAAACAAATGTATAGCAAACGTAAGAGTCAGGTAAATTAGGTAATGCATACCAAAATTTATAGAATTAATGGACATGTGTAAATCTACTTACCACAGTAATACTGACAGCGTCGTCGAATTGCCTCATACATACACTGACAAATGCAGAGGCGAGTAGAAGAAGAATCAATGGATTCTTGAACTGAAAGTATATAAATTTAATTGAAATTATACAAATATAATTAAATTGTATTATATACTGTTACAATTATCTGTATAAGATCTATTACAACAGGAAATAAGCTCTGGAAACACACATACCTGTTCGATGTATTTTTTCCATGGTGGATCTTCTTCCTTTACAGTGAACTCGTTGAAACCTGTTAGTTGCCTTCTATGGTCAGCCTCTTGCCACTTGAGTCCTGTTCGTACATCGACATGTAATCTAGCTGCTACCTCCTCCGCTCCGAGACTAGCCGATTCAGCGGTTGTCAACCACATTTCACAATTTTGACTTTTATCCTGAAAACCATTATCATGTTAAAATACTTACTTAGGCGTCCATTGGTACTATCGGCACATATGCGCATTTATGCTGTTTTTCGCCGTCTTATCAATAGAACCAAATTGGGCTAAATTGTTTACCTTGCGCACTATCTCATTGTTGCACAATTGTAAAAATATGCATACGCCGAGGCAGAATGTTCGACTGACGAAAAAAAAA